CCATAATAGCTAGACTTGAATATTAGTGTTTTCCTAGGTGTTTCTTTCAATCACTTCCTACCACCTCTGCCACTCATTTCCCATATTACTAAACTGGAAAGCGTGTAAAAAAGGTTTACAAGGGTGTTACTGAGACTGGACAGTTTGAATAATAAGGATATGCTGGGAGTTTCTTCCTCTGGAGCATCAGAGACTGAGGGGTGACCTTATAGAGGTTTATAAAATCATGAGGGGCAGAGATAAGGCAAATACCTAAGGTATTTTTCCCCCCAGGGTGAGGGAATTCAAAAGTAAAGGGCATAGATTTAAGGTGAGAGGGGGAAGATGTAAAAGGGACCTGAGAGGCAACTTTACCACACAGTGCATATATGGAATGAGCTGCTACAGGAAGTGGTAGAGGAAGGTACAACTTCAACATTTAGAAGCCATTTAGGCAGGTACGTGGATAGGAAAGGTTTATAGGAATATGGGTCAAATGCAGGCAAGTGGGTCTAATTCAGTTTAGGAAATCTGGTCAGCATGAACGAGGAGGTCCAAAGGGTCTGTTTCCATGCTGTATGACCCTACGACTCTGTGACCCTACTATTTTCCTCTCTTACCTTGTCTGTATTCTTTGCCTCCTCTATTCAGTTCAGAGAATTAGTCATGTCTCTTGCTGGTTATTTGGTGTTCATGTATCTGTATTGTCAGTTTTCTTCCAGTTTGGCCTATGTAGTGTTCCTCACAGTCCTGGACATAATGGTAGAACGTAGGAACAATGGGGAACTCCAGACTAGCGTATATAGAAAAACCACACATATGGACCAGATACTCAACTACACTAGCAACCACCCCAATGCCCACAAACAGAGCTGCATCAGCACACTATTTAAACAAACCATAACACATTGCAGCAACCCAGAACTACGCAAAGCAGAACAGGAGCACCTATACAGAATCTTCAAAAGGAATGGATACCCAAAAAGCACAATCTGCCATTACCTCCGAGACAGACCACAACAGGAAGACACAACACGACCAGACTCACTAATCACCCTACTGTACATCAAGGACATGTCAGAGATGACCACACAACTACTCAGACCCCTAGGTATTAGGGTAGGTCACAAACCAACAATCACCCTCGACAGCTACTGACGAGCCCATACCCAAAACCAGCAAAACCGGTGTAATGTACAAAATACCATGCAAGGACTGTGAGAAACACTACATAGGCCAAACCAGAAGAAAACTGACAATAAGGATACACAAACACCAACTAGCCACCAAGAGACACGACCAATTCTCACTTGTCTCACTACACACGGACAATGAGGGATGCGAATTTGACTGGGACAACACATCCATAATCGCAGAAGTTGCTGGAAAAGCTCAGCAGGTCTGACAGCATCTGTGAAGAAAAAATCAGAGTTAATGTTTCGGGTCACCGGATCCAAAGCGTTAACTCTGATTTTTCCTTCACAGGTGCTGTCAGACCTGCTGAGCTTTTCGAGCAACTTCTGTTTTTGTTCCTGATTTACAGCATCTGCAGGTCTTTCGGTTTTTACGTCCATAATAGCACAAGCCAAACAGAGACACGCCAGGGAATTCCTGGAGGCCTGGTATTCCAACCGGAACTCCATCAACAAACACATTGAATTAGACCCTGTGTACAAACCACTGAGAAACAGAACCAAAAGTGGTACAAACCACCAGCAAACCAAGGCATATAAATAACAAGTGGGACAGAACACTGACCCTTCACCGGAGGCGCACTGACGATGTTACCTCATGGGGTAACAATACATCTGCAACAAAACACATCAGCTCGGCAAGCAAAAAATCTACAACATCATCCATAACCCGAGATACAAATCTTCTCAAAACCTTTAAACACCTACGGGCGCAACATCTTCATACTGGCCTGCAGATGAGAGACAAATGCCATCCGTCAGAACACGACCCATGAATGACTGTACTTCCTGCACGAATGCCTCAGAAAACAGGTACTACCACCAAGCTTAAAATATAAACCACCAATTAACAATCCACAGGCATGAAGAACAGCTGTGCAGAATGGCGGCAGAATGATAAGGGTTATGATCAATGATGCCCACAGCTGCCTCGACAAATACGAGCGGGAAATTGTGCGCCAAAAGCCTTTATACTCCAACGCAACCAGTCAAGAATGGAAAACCACACTGGAACAAGCCATCACCGTACAACAACAAAAGACCAGAATAAAGAAAAGAATAGCCCTTCAAGTAAAACTGTCCAAAATCACGCACAACAACGACGTGGACAACACAGGAACATGGATCAAGAATATTTCAGACCGACCACTTATAGACACTGAGAAGACCGTCCTAGTACGCGGACTGAATTATAACTACAAAGATGCCAAAAAAAACTGACTTCGTGGTTGCACTGGAATCAACACTAAAGAGCAACGGACTCATGGAGGAAATACAACAGACCATCAGACAGACGATAGTCCCAACACTGAGCTGAAAAAGTAAGTGGAACACATTCAACACAGAAGAGAGGAAAGCCCTGGAAAGATTCAAGAAAGACAGAAACATTGTAATCTTACCACCAGACAAATGATGCACGACAGTAATCCTTAATGGAGCCCAATACATTGAGAAAGCTAACACACTACTAGCAGATACCAAAACCTACCAACAGATGGCAATAGACCCGACACCACAGTTAGGGAAACGGAGTACAACGACCCTGAAGAAATTACACAACTCAGGAGATATCAGCAAGACAGACAACCAAAACATGAAGCCCATGGGATCCAACACATCCCGATTCTATGGACTCCCCAAGGTACACAAGCAAGGGGTCCCCCTCAGACCCACTGTCTCATTACCAGGCACAACAACATATAGACTGGCCAAAGAACTACAACAGAAATTGAAATACTTAGTTGACAACACTACCCACTCCATCCACTCATCACAAGAATTCCCCAACAATATAAGCACACCAGAATAGAAGAGGACAAGATCCTTCAACATCCTTCAGCGTAACAGCACTGTTTACATCCATAAACATCGACCCTGCTAAAGAGACAACTGCCACACTGCTGGACAAATCAAGTAAGCAGGCATCCCAGGAAACCAACAACATCAATAAGGACACCATCATGAAACTACTGGATCTGTGCCTCACAACCCATTTCACTTTCAATGACAGCATATACAAACAAATCAATGGAACATCAATGGAATTCCCAATATCAGGACTGATTGCTGAAGCACTAATGCAAAAGTTAGAATGAACAGCACTCCCCACTATACAACCCAAACTTTGGGTACGATATGTAGATGACACGTTCATGATTATTAAATGCACAAAACTGGAAGAAACCCATCACCACATAGACAGCAAATTCACCAGGATAAAATTCACAAAAGAAGAGAACAACAACTGACTACGCTTCCTGGACATAATGGTAGAATGTAGGAACAACAGGGAACACCAGACTAGCATATATAGAAAGACCACATATATGGACCAGATACTCAATTACACTAGCAACTGCCCCAATGCCCACAAACAGAGCTGCATCAGGACACTATTTAAATGAGCCACAACACATTGCAGCAAGCCAGAACTACGCAAAGCAGAACAGGAGCACCTATATGGAGTCTTCAAAAGGAATGGATGCCCAAAAAGCACAATCTGCCATTACCTCTGAGACAGACCACAACAGGAAGACACAACACGACCAGACTCACTAATCACCCTACTGTACATCAAGGACATGTCAGAGATGACCATACAACTACTCAGACCCCTAGGTATTAGGGTAGGTCACAAACCAACAACCACCCTGCGACAGCTACTGACGAATGTAAAGGATCCCATACCCAAAACCAACAAAAGCGGTGTAATGTACAAAAGACCATGCAAGGACTGTGAGAAACACTAGATAGGCCAAACTGAAAGAAAACTGGCAATATGGATACACGAACACCAACTAGCCACCGAGAGACACAATCAATTCTCACTTGTCTCACTACACACGGACAACGAGGGACATGAATTTGATTGGGACAACACATCCATAATCTCACAAGCCGCAGGTCTTTCAGTTTTTACATCCATAATCGCACAAGCCAAACAGAGACATGCCAGGGAATTCCTGGAGGCCTGGTATTCTAACCAGAACTCCATCAACAAACACATTGAATTAGATCCTGTGTACAAACCACTGAGAAACAGAACAGGAAGTGGTACCAACCACCCCAGGAAACTGAGACATATAAGTAACAAGTGGGACAGAACACCAACGCTTCAGCGGAGGTGCACTGACCATGTTACCTAGCAGGGTGACGAAATGTTTGCAACTAAACCCACCGGCTCAGTGAGCAAGTCTACAATGTCTCTACTTAATAACATTGTAGAATGTTAAGGGACTAAATGCCGACAAATCCCCAGGGTCTCCTGGCCTAAACCCAAGGGTTTTATGAGAGGTGCCTGCAGAAATAGGGGATTTTCTAAAATGATGCAGATTCCCTTCAGAGATAGGGTCTAGGCCCGAAACGTCGACTTTCCTGCTCCTCTGATGCTGCTTGGCCTGCTGTGTTCATCCAGCTCCACACCTTGTTATCTCAGATTCTCCAGCATCTGCAGTTCCTACTATCTCTGAAACAATTTTAACCCCACTGCGAAGCCTCTTCTAACGATGCGTACCTTGAAGAAGTTCCCTATTTATTTCAGAACCCCCTTCCCCTCCCCCATTTCTGAAGAAGGGTCTAGGCCTGAAACGTCAGCTTTCCTGCTCCTCTGATGCTGCTTGGCCTGCTGTGTTCATCCAGCTCTACACCTTGTTATCACAGATTCCCTTCAGATTGGAATTTAGCAAATGAACCACAATTACTCACGAAAGGAAGGAGAGAGAAAACAGGCTAGTTAGCCTGACAAAGGCCTTTGGGAAAATGGTAGAACCTATTATAAAGGAAGTCTAAATGACACACTGAGAAAAATTACAGTATGTTCAGACAGAATCAAGTTTGAGTTTTTTTTTTAATAAGATAATGAGGAAACCAAGATAAATGAGGCATTTTCTAATTAACAAGATCATTTAGAACTGAAATCAGGGGGTTTCCTCACAAACAATTGTGAATCTTTGGAATTCTCTATCCCAGAGGGGTGCAGGTGCTCCATTGTTGACTATATTTAAGGTTGAGACAAACAATCTCTTAGGGAATCAAGGATCTGGGAAACATACGCAAGGTGGAGGTGTAGCTGAAGATCAGACACGATGGTACAAATGATGGAGGGGGGGTGGCTTGAAAGACCTTAGGGTCTACTTCCTAGTTCTTACGTTCTGAGACTGACCGAACCCCAATACTGAACCCTGGTAGATTTTTAATCAGTAAGAGAATCAAGAGTTATGGGCACTAGGCAGAATATGGGGAGTTGATTATCAGATTAGCCATGATATATTGAATGGCAGAGTAGACTCAATGGGCTGAATGGCCTACTGTCATGGTCTCATGAAGCCTGACTGAACTCCGAGACTGACCAAACCAAGTGACCAAATCCCAAGTCTGAACCAACCCCGAGAGTGACCGAACCTCATGATGGATCCCCATTTCTATCGATGTAACTGAGATGGTTGCCTCAGCACAGATTGGAGAGTGAAGTAATGATTGACCATTCTGTGTATTCTATTAGGACACACCCTTAGGGATAATTCTGATAGGCAGGGTCCATAGTGACTCACACAGCATTACAGAATATTCAGCAATGTACTGTGCCTCCAAGTTGTGTTTTGCTTTTCTGGTGGGTGAATACAGGGCTTGCCCATTGACTAATGGAAGCTCGGTCAACAGGGAAGAATATTACGAGAATGGTGAGATTATTGATGACACAGCTGGAAATATACAATATCCCAGCAATCAGCTCCAAATTTGAGGAACACAGCCAATCACATGGTAGGAAGGATAGGAAGTCTGTTACCTCAGAAGGCTGAAGGTTAGGGAGCCGTGTTTAAAAGGTACTCAATGTTCGTGTTGCAACCAGGACAATTGTTCTCACTGTTGGTGAGGGATTTGTAAACTGCTGCCATTCCCTGATTTCTGAAGAAGGGTCTAGGCCTGAAGCGTCGGCCTTCCTGCTCCTCTGATGCTGCTTGGCCTGCTGTGTTCATCCAGCTCTACACCTTGTTATCTCAGATTCTCCAGCATCTGCAGTTCCTACTTTCTCTGCTGCCATTCCCTGTCCATCTGGATCCTTGTAAACGCTGTCACCCTGTACCAAAGCAACAAATATTCAAGTGTAATCATTCTTTCATGCCATCCACAGGTTCTTCCCAAGTCTGTGTGGGAGTGGTGGCACGTCCTAATTCCAAGGGATTACAGCAGGAGGCCCTCCCTCCTGTCCTGAGCACTTTTGGCCAACGGGTAAACCAATACACAGCACCGGCACACCCATTGCACTGCGGTCAATCCCATTCTTGAGGTTCCAAGAGCCCTTCTTGTTGACATAGCCATGCCTGTGGTCACTCAACCAATAACACTGAAGGTGTAAGCCATCATCCTGCACCCTTCCTCAATCACCTTCGACCTCCCCTCCATCACCCTTCAACCTTAGCACTTTCAGCCTTGCTCTGTCTTCTTGACCTTTGATCCATCCCATCATTTCTGACCAGATATCGTTGGCCTTTCAGCTTTCCCATGTTGCATTGGACTTACTGCTCGCCATTACACCCTCCACCTGCATCCATGATTCTCAACCCTCCATTTATCCTTGACATTCCCCTCAGCTCTCAGGACCTCTGACCTCCCCATTATCTCCTCTGACCTCCCCACAATCAAACTGAGCTAATATCAACAGACATAGCTCTCTCTGTGGAACCCAGCTGCCTATCTCTGTCCCTCACAAGGCTTTGTCGGGACTTCTTCCATCCTTCCCTTGACCAATCATACCCAGTACCCTCTGTACTGTTGCCGCTTGATTTCAATCATCAATGTGTCTCTCCAAAAGGTCCCTGGGAAAAAGAAAGGCAGCTCCTACTCACTGCATCGCCCAGGATATAGCTCAGCTGTTGCAGGCTGTGTTCTTTCTAACTTAACCTAATGAACCTGTTTAGAGATGCTATTATATACCTCTGGAGCAGGTGGGACTTGAATCCAAGTCTCTCAGTTCAGGGGTAGGGACCACTGTGCTATAAAAGGGTCCCCCACCACCCCCCCATCACAGGCTGTATTAAAGCAGCCATGAATCTGAAGGCCTGTGTTTCTCATTCACTGACAATTTTACCACAATGATAGCCTTAATTCTGGGGAGGTTGCTTTTTAACAGGCGAGCATGACATGTAAATGTATGAAAATCAGGTTGCTTGTTGACAGGAAGCTCACCTGTTTACATCCCATTGTTGGGAAGCTGACTTTTGAACTCCTGGTCAAATAAGTGCCTTGCTTGCCTCACTTCAAACTCCTGGGAGCTTCACGAGATTCCATCCATAATATCAGAAGTTCTCCTAATGAAATACACCTAGCTTTGAAAGGAATTAAGGTGAGAACATCCACTCCCCTCATTTTCAACACTCACTCCCTCCACCACCGATGCTCAGTAACAGCAGCGTGTACTATCTACAAGATGCACTTCAGAAATTCACCAAAGATCCTCAGACAGTATCTTCCAAACCCACAACCACTTCCATCTAGAAGGACAATGGCAGCATTTATATGGAAACAACACCCCCTGTAAATTCCCCTCCAAGCCCCTCACCATCCTGACTTGGAAATACATAGCTGTTCGTTCGCTGTTGCTGGGTCAAAATCCTGGAATTCCCTCCATATGGCATTGGGGTCAATCCCTCATGTGGATGCAGCCACTGAAGAAGCAAACCCACCATCTGAGAATTAATTTAGAAATAATTCCTGTCTGTTAGAAGTCATGATTGGGTCGATATCCAAACTCAGTTTGTTTGACGTGAAAATGATTTATTTTTGAACTCAGGAAGTCTTATTCAATTCAAAGTATATCCTGGTCTCACCCTGACCAATACAAAAGCAGTTGGAAAGATCTTTGGCTCCACACTCATTTCATCACCCCAAAAAGGTGGCCTTGAGTTTATAGAGAGAGAATTTCCATACAGCCCTGTAATTGGACTGGAGCGCTCACTGTTGTTCATTTTGTAACACTTAACCCTGAATCCACTGGTCATGGTTCAAAAACATCATCATCACAAACATCTAGGCTCACCTCCCAGTACAAATGGAAGGTGCACTATGTGAGGTGCTGTCTGCTGAAATGGAATGTTAAACCGAGGCCCTATCAGTCCTTTCAGGTGGATGGGAAAGCTTCCACAGCAGCTTTCTCCCCTGTAGCTTGGTCAGTTGCTTGATTACGTGGCCATTATTGCTTTCTGGCATCTTGCTGTGCACTAATGGGCCACTGTTCCCTGTATCAGAACAGGTTCTGCACTGCAGAAAGTTTTGGGGGAATACTCTAAGGTGGAGGAAAGTGCTATAGCAATGAAAACCCTTCTTTCACCAGGTAGAGGCAGCAACTGAAGGCTTGTCATTGCAGCAATCACATGACCAGCTACTGCATGCACTTCCTGGGAATTATCACCTGTGGCACAGATGGCAGCTTTCCCTTCTGTTCCCTTCCCTTCCCACTAACTCAATCTTTGCTGCTCCCAGGGAGCCACATTTCAAAACAGAACACAAAATCCATCCAGCCCCTGTGCACTCTCCCCTCTCCCTGACTAAACCCTAATGTAGCTCTCCCTCACCCCACACAGTGTCTCCGTATCCCTTCATTTCTGAGGGACAGTTTGATAAATTAACTGTTCGGGAATACCTCCCCTCCCACTTCCTCGGGTGCTGGTTTGCTGTCTATCACTCCCTTTATCTGGTTTGTTTTCTTTCTCACTCTATGCACAAGTTGATTTTACAGCAGCTCCTATTTGTCAAAAACTAAAAGGATAAAGTATAAAAAGTGAAGAATACAGCTCGCCTGGGTTTGAGATCTCAAGAGTAAGACAGACAGAGCGTGACTGAGAGAGAGATTAGGAGTGAGACTGAATGGATGAGAGATACAGTGAAGAGGCTTTTGAGTGAGACAGCTATCGATCAAATGAGTGAAACAAAAGTGCGTCAGAGATAAATTGTGTAAAAGACGGAGTATCAGAGAGACTGAGAATGAGTCTGCAACACTGGGAGATGTAAATTTAGGGTGAGGTTCATGATGCATCTAGATCTTGAGCAGCACACTAACCACTGGTCTGTATTTAGGTCAGAGACCATGGTTTGTAGCTTATTCTCTGCACATAGGCAAGTCACTCTTTGTATGTTTTAAACATTAGACAGTTCCCACGAAAAGCTGGTTTCCCAGTAACAGCTCATTAATCTTTATCAGCTAGAACACTAACCTCAACTTCCAGTAAACAGAGCAGTGCGATAGCTCATGTGATAGCGTATGGGGTGAGGTCAAAGATAGACAGTCAAGCTTCCTTTACTCTTTTCAACTGGTAGTAAAGCAGCCTCTGCACTGTGCCCCTCAAACACTTCCTAGGCAGGGACAGCACAGAGTAAAGCCTCCTCTACACCTTAAAAGATTTGGGTAACTTGATTTTTCAGTTTAAAACAGAAAGTAAAGTTCTCCCGACAATGTCCCCGTCAAACACTCCCATGACAGAGGCAGCATGGGATCAGATACAGAATGAAACTTCCTCTACACTGTCGCCATCAAACGTTCCCAGGACAGGGACAGCATTGGGTTAGATGCAGAGTAAAGTCCCCTCAATGCCTTTTGATAAAGGAGGACATAACAACTGTGCTTAGAGAGGATATTCATAAGCGGTCATTAAATGAGCTGTATGGTTATAATTAGAAACAAGAAAGGGATGGTCACTCTGTTGGAACAGTATTAAAGACCCCTAAATAGCCAGCAGGTACTAGAGAAGCAGTTGTGTAGAGAGATTGCAGATACCTGTAGGAATAATAGAGTAGTATTGGTTGGAGATTTTAATTTCTCCTGTATTGACTGCGCCACCCAGTGGGGAAAAGGCCCAGATGGGGTGGAATGTGTCAAACGTGTACAAGAAAGTTTCCTAAATTAATATGTAGAAGGCCCTACTCGGGAGGGTGCAACACTGGACCTCGTCTTGGGAAACGAGGTCGGGAAGTGACTGAAGTGTCCATCAGGGAGCACTGTTTAACATAGTTATGGAAAAAGATAGGACAGATCCACAGGTTAATATGCTAAACTGGTGCAGGTCTAATCTCGGGACCATTAGGCAGGATCTAGCAGCGGTCAATAGGGTGAGTCTGTTTGAAGGAAAAGGAACAACTGGCAAAAGGGAAAACTTTTAAAAGTGTGATATCAAGAGCCCAAGGACAGTATGTCCCTGTTAGGGTGAAGGGAAAGCTGGCATGTTTAGGGATCTCTGGCTGACGAGGGATATTGAGGCTCTGGGCAGGTAAAAGAAGAAGGCATACATTGGGTTTAAGCTATCGGGCTCAGGTGAATCAGTAGATGACTATAAAAAGTGTAGGAACACATTTAAGAGGAAAATCAGAAGAGCAAAAAGAGGGTATGACATGGACATGACAGATAAGATTAAAGATAATCACAAGAGGTTCTATAGCTATATTAAGAGTAAAAGGGTGGCTAGGGAGAGAATAGGTCCCCTTAATGATCAGCAAGGCCATCTATGTGTGGAGCTACAGGAGATAGGGGAGATTTTTAATGAATATTTCTCCTCAGTGCTTACTGAGGAGAGAATCATGGATGCTAAGGAAACAAGGGAAACATGTGGGGATGTTTTGGATTGTGCACACATTACAGAGAGGATGTGTTTGCAGCCTTAAAGCGCATTAAGGTGGATAAATCCCTTGGGCCTGATCAAGTCCATCCTTGGATGTCGTGGGTGACTAGGGAAGAAATTGCAGAGGTCCTTGCAGAGATTTTTGCTTCATCTTTAGCCATTGGTGAAGTTCCAGAAGACTGGAGGATGGCTAATGTTGTTCCATTGTTTAAGAAAGGTAGCAAAGACAAGCCAGGGAACTCCAGACTAATGAGCCTGACATCAGTGGTAGGCAAGTTATTGGAGAGGATACTGTTGGGATCAACCAACATTTGGATAGTCAAGGTCTGATTAGGGATAGTCAGCATGGATTTGTGCGCACAAAGTCATGTCTGACAAATCTTTTAGAGTTTTTCGAAGAGGTAACCAAGAGGATGGATGAGGATAGGGCAGTGGATGTTGTCTGTATGTACGTTAGTAAGGCCTGTGCCAAGGTCCCGCACGGCAGGCTAGTCATGAAGGTTAGGTCGCATGGGATTCAGGGAGAGCTATCTAACTGGATTCAAAATTGACTCGATGGTAGGAAGCAGAGGCCAATGGTAGAAGGTTGTTTCTTGGACTGGAGGTCTGTAACTCGTGGTGTGCCACAGGGGTCGCTGCTAGGACCTTTGTTATTTGTGATTTACATAAATGATCTGGATATGAATGTAGAAGGCTTGATTGGCAAGTTTGCAGATGATACAAAATTAGGAAGTACTGATAGCGAAGAAGGTTATCAGAAATTACAGAGGGATCTTGATCAGATGGGGAAGTGGGCTGAGGATTGGCAAATGAATTCAATACAGATAAGAGTGAAGTGTTACATTTTGGAAAGTCAAACCAAGGTAAGACTTATACAGTAAATGGTAAGGTCCTAAGGAGTGTTGTGGAACAGAGGGACCTAGGAGTACAAGTACATAGTTCATTGAAGGTGGTGTCACAGGTAGACAGGGTGGTGAAGAAGGCATTTAGCATGCTGGCCTTCATCGGTCAAGGCATTGAGTATAGGAGCTGGGACATTATGTTACAGTTGTATAAGTCATTGGTGAGGTCACCCTGTTATAGGAAAGACATAGTTAAACTGGCAAGTGTGCAAAGAAGACTTATGAAGATATTGCCAGGACCAGTAGGCCTGAGGTATAGGGAGAGATTGGCCAGGATAGGACTTTTATCTTTGGAATGTAGGAGAATGAGGGGTGACCTTATTGAGCTGTATAAAATCATGAGGGGCATAGAAAGGATGAATGCATATAGTCTTTTTCCCAGGGATGGGGAATTGAAAACTAGAGGGCATAGGTTTAAGGTGAGAGGGGATAGATTTAAGAAGGATCTGAGGTGCAACTTCTTCACGCAGAGAGTGGTGCATTTATGGAATGGGCTGCCAAGGGAGTGGTTGAGGCAGGTACAATAGCAACTTTTGAAAAAAAAATTGATAGGTACAGGGATGAGAAGGGTTTAAGAGGGATATGGACCAAATGCAGCCAATTGGAACTAGCTGAATGGGCACCATGGTCAGCATGGACCAGTTTGGGCCGAAGGGCCTGTTTCCAGGCTGTATTACTCTATGACTCTATGAAACCATCCCCCGTCAAACACACCAAGGTCAGGGACAGCATGGAGTTAGATACAGAGTAAAGCTCCCTCTACACCATCCCTCCTATATTTACTCCCACCCTTATCCAGGAATACATGTCCTAGAAAAACCACCCATGCCTGCCCCTGCTGAATCAAACAATTTTGTACTTCTTGCTACATTTCTGTGGGTTGAAACAGCGATTAAGTGCATTTTATAAGTTTATGCCAGCAAGAAAGGAGGGTTTCATATTGTTGACTGAATTTGAACATGTGACCCAAGGGCAATGTGCTAAACTCACTTCGCTAATTAATTTTGAACATGCAATGTGCATTATTAAGCGCTGGTTATTAGAATATCCAGGCTGATGGAATTCATCCTGGAGTGTTGGAATGTGGCTCCCTGGTTATTGACTGGGTCGGCTTGACTCTAGCCAACTGTGATCAGTTTGGGATCCGTGTTGTTAAATGTTGTTCCTCTTTTACCCTGTCAATCCAGGGTCACATACTCAGAAGCAGCAGCTGACATACCAGAGCTGAGGCGATACCGCCACCCCCCTACCCCCCCAAGTCCACAGACTCTCACCATGGGCAAACAGGGAGAAAGGCCCTGCAGTATTTTCCAAACATCCCTCTGAAGAATTGCTGAGTTGTCTCCTTAAATCTACATTGGTCTTTGCGTAATCCTTTGATGTTGTCCCTTAATTCTGGCCCATCAGTGTTGCTGAGGCCACTTTGTTTCACTCAACAGAGCTCTCTACCGCAAAGCATCATGGTCTGTGGCCTAGTCAGCTGAGACAGCCTGATACCTTCAACAGGTGTCACCAAGACTGAGTTGGAAATATCAGCAAGTCTAATAATTTTTATATCTTGTTCATAATTAAAGTGTAAACGGTCTTGAATTAATATCTTAAAAAATAGACGTAAAGATTCATTCAGAGGAGCAGTCCACGTGTGACATACAAACAGGGTTAAAAAAATCAAGTTAAAATATGCCAGCTGTTGAGAGGCTGGAGCCAGGCACTTAAGGCTGGTTTGAAGGATTAGCTTGTGGTCTTGGTCAGGGGCTGTGTCCATGTCTCTTCAGGTCACAGGCTTCCTGCAAGGAGCGGACTGTGCTCGCCAACATGCATGTGTCCCGGGAGTCTGTCATAGAGAGTGTCACCGTGCAAATCCACTTCAGCATGCAAGGTGATCTTCTGTTCATGGTGAGAAAAGGAGAGAGAGAGAGGATCAAAGGGCGTAATCGTGGAAACAAGCAGCAGATTTCAAATCAAACAACTAGAATTTTTAAAAACCAAAAGAACTGCAGCTGCTGTGAATCAGGAACAAAAACAAAGTTGCTGGAATAGCTCAGCAGGTCTGGCAGCATCTGTGAAGGAAAAATCAGACTTAACGTTTTGGGTCCACTGACCCTTCCTCAGAACTGAAAACAGAAAACGTTCATTAGAATTTTCATTGTTTTAACCCATTAACAACTCAGTGGTAGTGCTGCCCACAGAAAAAGTTGTGGGCTTGATGTTAGCGAATTGGCATTGCAGGGCCGGCCAGGGGGAGGCGCGAAACTGTCAGATATGCCACAATTTGGATGGAGGTGTTGCCCCTCCTGTTAGGTTAAAAGTCCATGGCACCATTGCAGCAGAATTCTCCCACACAGTCTCCCAGGCAACCAATATCCCAAAAAGCACATTAAATGGGTCATTCCTGGAATAAAATGAGAACAGCGCAGAAAGTGGCCATTCAGCCTGTCAGACTCATGATGGCTCCTTGGATTATTCTTTCAATTAGTCCCACCCCACTCCCCGCAAATGATTCCCCCAGAGTATTTATCCAATTCCTTTTTGAAACCATAGAACTACAGAAATATTACAGCACAGAAGAGGGCCATTAGGTACGGTCTCACTAATGCCGTGTACAGTTGCAGCAACACTTCCCAACTTTTATACTCTATTCCATCAGCATTAAATGCCAAAATTCCATTTGTGTTCCTGATTACCTGCTGTCCCTGCAAACTAGTTTTCTGTGATTCATGGACAAGGACAAGGACACCCAGATCTCTCTGCACCAAAACATTCTGAACTTTCTCTCCATTTGTATACTGAGCTGCCTTTCTATTCCTCCGATTAAAATAGAAAACCTCACACTTATCCACGTTAAAGTTCATCTACCAAATTTTGGCCATTTACCTAACGTGTCCATATCCATTTCTACATTTCTTAGTTAGTTAAAACTAACTTTCTAGCCACTTTCAGTGTTATCTGCAAATTTGGTTACTATACTTTCTATCCCCACATACAAGGATTGTAAATAGTTAGGGCCTGAGGGCCAAATCTTGTGCTACCCCATTAGTTACATCTTGCGCGAACCTGAAAAACAGCCATTTATTTTGACTCTCTGCTTTCTGTTGGTTAGCCAATTCTCGATCCAAGCTAATAAATTACCCCTAACCCCATGTGATCTTACCTTGTGTAATAATCTTTTGGCTGGCACCTTATCAAATGCCTTCTGGAAATCCAGATATACTACATCTACAGGAACACCATTATCTACTTGTTTGTTATTCTTTTGAAGAACTCTAGCAAATTAGTCAAACATGATTTACTCTTCGTAAAAGCATGCTGACTCTGATGGATTTGGTTTTGGCTTTCCAAATATCCTATTATTACTTCCTTAATAATGGATTCTAACAATTTCTCAGCACGTGTTAAAACTAACTGGTCTGTAGTGTCTTACTTTCTACCTCTATCCCTTTCTAAATAAAAAGGTGCTATATTAGCATTTTCCAATCCAAATCTTCTCCACATCCAGGAAATTTTGGAATATTATAACCAAAGGATCCTTTATCTCTGCTGCCACTTCCTTTAAGACCCTAGGATGTAGGCTATCAGGCCCTGGACACTTGTCTACCTTCAATCTCAATAGTCCAAAGTACTTGGCAGATGGCAAAGTTAGGCAGCACGGTGGCTCAGTGGTTAGCCTTCTGGAAATCCAGATATAGTATATCTACAGGATCCCCATTATCCACCTTGTTTCTTACATCTTTGAAGAACTCTAGCAAATTAGTTCAAACATCATTTACCCTTCATAAAACCATGCTGATTCTGATGGATTGGGTTTTGACTTTCTAAATATCCTATTACTACTTCCTAAATAATTGATTCTAGAATTTCCCAATGACATATGAAACTAACTGGTCTGTATTTCCTACTTTCTACATCTTTCCGTTTCTGAATAGCATATTCCAATCGACTTTCCCGTATCCAGAGAATTTTGGAATGTTATAACCTTTGGATCGATTTACCTCTGCTGCCATTTGCTTTAAGGCCTAGGATGTAAGCCATCAGGCCCTGGGCACTTCTCTGCATTCAATCTCAATTGTTTGCCTAGTACTTTTTCCCTGGTAATGATGATTGTTCTAAATCCCTCCCTTTCTATAACCTCTGCATTACCTTTTACTGCTGGGTTGGTTCTAACATCCTCCACAATGAGAATGGAGACAAAATATTAGTTTAGTGACTCCACCATTTCTGTGTTTTCCACTATTAACTCCCCAAGTTTCATCCTCCATTGGACTAACATTCAATTTAACTAATCTCTCCCCTTTTAATAATCGTATGGAAGCTTTTACTATCCATTTTTATATTTACTCTAGTTTCCTTCGCAATTTCCTTTGCTCTTTTATTACCTATTCAGAAATGGGTAATGATCTTTAAAATTGTTGAGCTTTTAAAAAAACTTTCCTATTTTTCCAGTCTACCACTCGTCTTTCTTAGTTTTTGCCTTTTGTATACCTTAAATTATTATCTTTCCATCATTCAGCTAGATGTGGCAGGACTGTACAGCTTAGAATCAATATATTGGTTGTGGGATCACTAAGTTCTGTTTATCACTTGACGTTTGTGATATTTTGCAAGGAAGTAGTGCTGTTCTGCAGCCTCACCAGGTTGACACCTCATTTTCAGGTATGACCAGTGCTGCTCCTGTCATGCCCTCTTGCACTTTCCATTGAACTAGGGTTGATCCCCTGGCCTGATGCTAATGGTGGAGTGGGGGGATGCCCAATATTGAGTTGCTAGATCTGTTTGAAGTCTGTCCCATTTAGCATGGTGATACTGCCTCACAATACAATGGAGATTATTCTCATTGTGAAGGACGGACTCCTTCTCTACAACGGCTGCGCATTGGTCACTCTTACTGATACTGTCATGGACAGATGCATCTGCAGCTGGCAGATTGCTGAGGAGTTTTGGTTCCTTTATCATCTACAGCACACTCAGTCTGGAAGCAATGTCCTTTAGTACTCGACCAGCTCAGTCAGTAACGGTAATGCAGAGCCACCCTTAGTGGTGGACTTTGAAGCCCACTTAAAGGACCTGATAGCTACCTAAACATGGCCTTCACTGCTGAAATTCATCTCATTGATGGGAATGAAGTAATATTTCTGGGGTAGACACTCTTGCACCCATACAACATGTGCAGCAATTAACATTAAATTTTCAATAGGGCAGAATTAGAGGGGAGCAGATATCACAGAGGGCTGTGGAGCTGGAGAGGGTGATAGAGATAGACAGGGAACAAACCACGGAAACATTTGAAAAGAAATATCGGGACTCTAAATCAAATGACATGACTAGGAGCAGAGAGGGGACAGGGGAACGGTCTTGCTGTGAGTTAACACATAGGTATGCATTTTAGAATGGGGAACATGGGTGGGAGTTTGTTGGATTAGTCAAGTCAAGAGCTAAGAAAGGTATTGCTGGAGGTTTCAGGAGCAGAGAAGTCAAGTCTTAAAGTGAACTGGAGTCAGAGAGCGGTGGTAGACTTGTGTGGAGATGCCAATGTGCAAAGATAATTATCTCCACTGTAAAGTATGCATTTATTGAACATGGATTACTATGTACAGTTCAGGTCTCCCTATTGTAGGAAAGGTATTATTAAGTTAGAGAGGGCTCAGAAAAGATTTACCAGGACATAACAAGGAATGAAAGGTTTGGGTTATAAGGAGAAGCTGGACCTACTGGGACTTCTTCCACTGGAACGTAGGAGGTTGAGGAGTGACAGAGGTTTATAGAATCACGAGCGGTATAGATAAGGTGAGTGGGAGATGTCTTTTCCCCAGGGTAAGGGATTTCAAGACTAGGGGACACGTTTTTAAAGTCAAAGGAGAAAAATTTGAAAAAGACAGGAGGGTTTTTATTTTAAATACAGAGAGTGGTTTGTGAGAGGAATGAACTTCCAGAGAAAGTTTTGGATTCAGGTACAGTTATAACATTTAAGAGACATTTAGATAAGTGCATGAATAAGAAATGTTTGAAGGGATATGGGCCAAGTGCAGGCAGGTGGGACTAGTTTAGTTTTGGATTATGGTTGGCATGGACTGGTTGGACCGAAGGGTCTGTTTCCATGCTGTATGACTCTATTACACCTTTAACATAATGAAACGTTGAAAAACATCTTGGGAGTGTTAGCAAAACAAAAATGATAATGAGCCAAATGAGGATACATTTGAAGAGGTAAAACATTCTTATAAAAAAATCTGTCTTTTGCAGAGCCTGACAATAGGAATAGATTCAGAATGTTCTGGAAGTACTCAGCAGGTTTTGCACCATCTGGAAAGAGAGAACAATTTTAACATGTTGAATCTGATATGGCTCTTCCTCAGGACAAAGACTCTATTGACGAGTAAAATATTAACTCTGTTTCTCTCTCCAGATGCTGCCAGATTTGCTGATTAGAGGACCACCAAAATCTCAGAGCACTGGACAGTCCTGAAGTAAGGTAACACAACTTCTCCTTTCCTCCAGATGCTGCCTGGCTGGCTAACTTCTTCCAGCCTCCTGTTTGTTTACCATAGTAAAACATATAATTGGTAAAATGTTTTAAGGTTTTGCAGGAAGCCTTAAGGAGTTTTAAAGACGGTTTTAAAAATAGATAGGCTGAGAGAGACATCTACCGGAATCAGGAAAAACAAGTGAAATTCTGAATCACAATTCGGCCCACCAAAGTAGTAAAACAATATCTGTTCATCCTTTGGGCAACAGGAGGATTGTTCCTGGACTCTGCCTGGCCAAAGTGGCTCTGGTTCAGCTCAGCTCAAAGGTTTTCCTGAGCCTAAGTCTAAACGCTTCCAGATGAGTCAGATGCTGCCCCTCACACACAAACCCTCCTCACTGCCTTCAAGATCTATAAAATGGTCTTATCGGCAAGACAAATCACAGGGTTCAGTTCATGAGTCAGTCCAAGCTCCTGCAATGTACATCAATACTGTTGGGAATGCACATTCCTATATAACGAGTATATTTATGATCTATGTGGATAGCAGAAAAATATTGAAATGTTTGGACACCTTCTGGAATTAAAAGGGTTGATTGCCCTTAATACTTGCCTCTATGCTGATGGCTGCCTACCAACCCTAACTTCTAATTGCAGCAGCCAGAAGTTGAAGAGGGAGAAGCAGCAGTAAGGATCAGAATGCTCCAGGTTCTCCATCAATTCCCTGGGTGAAACCTAGGCACCTGATACAGTCAGTACTACTGCATTTTTTTTAAACTTCCTGGTAAACCTGGTGAAACTGTCCTGTGCCCACCTTTCAAACACCTGGAACCAGCTGGATTGCCAATCAAACTGTTGCTTTGTTTCAAAGATTTTCATTGGATTATGGTGACCAGCTTTTCGATTTCGCCAACCAGAAGCTCAGTGGATGGTGAAGGGTCATTAAGGATATTTTTCCCTTTTGTGGCAGAGCTGTTGTTGTCCTCTGTGTGTCTGTGTTTGGGGTTAAAAAGTATATAATTCTAAATCTGGATTATAGTTTAGATATTCACAGGTTTTCCCCATGTTTCAACATTAAGTTATGTTATAAAAACAGAATATTTTAGGTTTATCAAAAAGCCTAGTGAACATCTCCTGTACGGGAGTGCTAAAAGGAAACAATTTGGTCATTAAATTTGAACATTTACATTAATAATGCAACAAGTTGAGCCTGATTATTAGCGCAGTCCTCCAGTTGCCACCATAATGCGAGAACTCAAACCTCGCTCAGCGATACCCACCTGAAAATCTCGAATGTACGTCAGGAAGAAACTGAGGAAGGAGAAGGCAAGAGACCATTCGGAGATTGTACTGACCAGGTGCAATTTGTAGCCCTGCCAAAAACAAACAAGCCATTGGCCATCAGTGAGCACTTAACCTAAAGCATACCTTGTATCAGTGAAAACTTTCTAAGCAACTCATTGGTTCAGTTCTGAAGAAGGGTCACTGGACCTAAAATGTTAACTCTATTTTCTCTTCACAGATGCTGCCAGACCTGTTGAGTTTCTCCAGCAGTTTCTGATTTTGTAGCTCATTGGTTGCCTCTGGAGAGAGAGTCCAAAATAAGAGACACAACTTTTAAATCAGAGCCAGGCCATTCAAGGGGGTGCAGGTGCATAGTTTCTTGAAAGTGGAGTCACAGGTAGAGAGGGTGGTGAAGGCAGAATTTACTGCAGTTGCCGTCATTGGTCATAACATTGAGTATCGGAGCTAGGTTCTCATGTTATGGCTGTACAGGACATTGGTGAGGCCACTTTTGGAATACTGCATATAATTCTGGCTGTACTTCCAAAGGAAGGATGTTGTTAAATTTGAGATGGTGCAGAAAAGATTTATAAGGATGTTGCCACGGTTGGAAGGGCTGAATAGGATGGGGCTGTTTTCCCTAGAGTGGGTTGGAGGCTGAGGACTGACATTATAGAGGTTTATAAAATCATGAGGGGCATGGATAGGGTGACTATCCGAGGTCTTTTACCTCAGGATGGGGAGCCCAAAACTAGAGGGCATAGGTTTGAGGTGAAAGGGGAAAGATTTAAAAAGGAACTGAGATGTAACTTTTCTTCATGAAGAGGGCGGTGCATTTATGGAATGAGCTGCCAAAGGTGGTCATAGAAGCTGGTACAATACAACATTTAAAAGGAATCTGGATGGGTATATCAATAGTGAGTTTTGACAAATATGGGCCAAATGCTGGCAAATGGGATTAGGTCAGACTGGGATGCCTGGTTGGCAGGAATGAATTGGAAGGGTCTGTTTCCATGCTATATGATTGTGATGCAAGGAAACAGTGCTCTGTACACAAGGTAGTGGCCATCTGGAACTCTCACCCAAAACGCTGTCGAAACTGTGGGGGAAGACAGTGCTTTATTTCCCCCTCCAACTCCATCTTGATTTAGTCCCTTCCCTATCTCCACCTCACTTTGATAGTTTGCATTGCCCATAATGGGCTTTGCCTGTCAACATTGACTAGGCTGCACGGGTGCTCACTGGTGGTGGGTCACACAAACAAATTGTCACTGTGATTTAGGTGGCGGGAAAGTCGCTCAGTTGTGCATAATAGCATTTCTGGGTATAAGAAAAAAGGAGGAAATCTAGAGGGGCCCTTATGGTGCAGCGGTAGTGTCCGCACCTCTGATCCAACAGGCCTGAGGTCAAGTCCCATCTGCTCCAGAAGTGTGTCATTACTTTTCTGAACAGATTAAAAAGAAATAAAGCAGACCCCAGGTAGCATTTCTAAGCACAGAAAAGAAAATAAAAATAAAAATAAAGCAGACCCAAGAGCTCTTGTGGTGCAGTGATAATGTCCCTACTACCCCTGAACCAGGAAGCCCCAGGTTCAAGTCACACCTGCTACAGAAGTGGATCATAAAATCTCTGAACAAGCTGATTAGAAAGATAGGTTAACTAAAAAAAGAGTCATGGTGATGGGAAAATCATTTAAGATAACACTTCCAGATATGAAGATGGAAAATTATATAAAGCAGACCTGGCAGGGCTGCTGTGGTTCAGTGGTAGTATCCCCACCTCTGAGCCAAGAGGCCCAGTTTCAAGTACCACCAGCTCTAGAGGCACGTGATAGATTTTTTTCTTTAAACTATCTGTCCTGGGCTGGGACTAGCCCACCTTTGCCACAAGTAGTGGCTCTATTTTGATGTTCAACAATAAACAATGTTCCATACCAGTCCATCCTCCTGAGTTATTATAAATACAATTAATAGATTTGAAAAATAGGCCACTCTCAATGATGGTTGGAACCTTCTCTTGTGTTTTGAGACTGATTGTGCAAAAGGAGGGAATTCTGTTCTGAAGGTGCAGTTAGGTCGTCTTATGCATCACATATCTTTGGGTGAAAAGTGCCAAATTTTATAAGCAATCGGGCAGAAAGCTCTGTCCCCCTTCAGGATTTCTTGGGCTCCAGCAACTGGGCACCATATTTAAAAGGCAGCTGGAGAGCACTCCACTCTCTGCAGCCTGGGAACAACACTGAGTCTCTGCTTAGCGCACTGACCCATCCCTGGAGATTAACAAAAGCAGAGCCATGCATTGTCTCCCTTCACTCTCTCCTCAAGATTGTCTACGAGCGAAGGGAAGTTTGTTTCCCTTTGGATGGCAGCAAGAGGCCATTCTGAACGAGGGCAATAGTCTGGACAGAGGTCAGAGCCCATGGGGAGTTCAAGACAACCCAGCACCAGTGGCCCATGGACATAAACAATCGGCTGTGCTCAGCCAGGGTACGTACCCTGCCTACTCAATGCTTCAATTTCCTGTGAGTTAGCCTTGTGAGATTGGCAGTGCACAGGACTGGCATGCAGGAGGATGGGACCGGAAATCTCCATCAGATCCTCCTGCACAAGCAAGGTTTGTAGATACCAATGTGGCATTACCACAGTGGCGCTACCTCTCACACGCCTGCCAGAGCTCACACTTAAAACAGAGAAGGGCTTACAAGGCTCAGCAGCTCACACTATCAGTTTGCTGACCTTTCTTCTGTACTAGGGGAACCTGCATATCTGACAGCTTTACACCAAAGGGACAATAACAATAACCTTTTGAGCTGACGCCCACTTGCCTGCCCCAGTCAGGTTTATAGGCAACAGTCAGTGTGGTTCCCTCACTAGAGCAGGCTTCACCTGTTCTTTACACTGAGTGTTTAACAACATGTCAAGAGTGCATATGACTGAGACCTCTCATGAGCTCATCAACTTGGAGGGGTTTCACCCCTAAAAATAGAAGCATTTATTCCTGGTTATCGAGCAGCCAAGTTTGGGTAGAACTTTGTGCTCGCTGGAGGTTACAGGGAGAGGGCCACACCAACAACGGACACCCTTCCTATAGAGGAAGGGCTGTGAACAAGTTGCCTGCATTTCCCACAGCCAATCCACCTAACCTGCATGTCTTTGGGCTGTGGGAGGAAACCGGAGCACCTGGAGGAAATCCACGCAAACAAGGGGAGAATGTGCAAACTCCACACAGACGGTCACCTGAGGATGGAATCGAACCTGGGTTCCCTGGTGCTGTGAGGCAGCAGTGCTAACCACTGAGCTGCCCCAGATCTGCAGAAATGAGGATCACTCTTAACTACTCTCTCAAATTACTCGAGCAAGCCAAGGCCTAATTAGAGATGGGTTAAAAAATGCTGGCCTTGCCAGTGATGCCCACATTCCATTAAAGAAAGAAAAACATTTAATGTACAAGCAACAGCCAATTGCTTTATTCTGCTTCAACAATAGGTATTATAGTCAATGTTAGACAGCAGCCTTCCTGAACCATTAGTAACGTTCCAGTCCGAGACATGGCTCCTCCTGTTAAGTTAGCACCACCAATGTAAACCATAATCTCCTGTGCGAAATCAGGCTCTGTGGAGAACTAGCTCAACTTTTTTCTTTACATTGGGGTCTGAACTTCTCACAAGTCACTGAATGAAGAACATAAGAGAGTAAAGCTGCCACCTGTCTGATAACAAATAACTACCTTAATAACCTCAGCCCAAGAATGTAAACCCATGTTCATTAGGGTGTGCAGCACCAATTTGAGGAGTTTGTGTGTCGAGTGATAACCTTGAAGCACAATGCTTACCTCCTTCACCTAACCGAGAAATGGGGATTTTAGTTTTACTTCACTAAGTACCAAAGAGCTTGTAACGTGACGGACTGTGCAACCCATGCCCTTCCAAATTAGCCTGTGGGGGCTGGAAGCAGCTGTGTGCATCAAGAGTTTCACTTATTCACACCTCACCTTCTCCGCTGGGTTCCAGTGCAGCTTCTTTGCCATGTCCATGGTGGGGATCATCGAGTACAGAGTGACAGAGGAGATAAACACTGCAAAGCCGCAAGTGAAGGAAATGACATACATTTTGAACTGCCCTAACACCATCCGACCTCGCCTTGACCTTGTATCATTTGCAAACCTCTCCAGCTCCACCCAAGTGCTCTCAGAGTCCACTCGTGCAGAAGACCCAACTCCAACATCTTTTCCAGGCAGTGCCCATTCACGACGTACTTAGCAAAAAATCAATCAGCAAATTTAAACTGAACAAGATACTCAGGATGAAGCGATCACTTGGGTGTTGGGAGGTGTGTCCTGGTGCTAATTGCAATGTCACCTACAGGTTGGCGTCTAATTGCTGTGACTCTAAAACACTGATGATCGGGGTAGAAGTGGACCACTAGAGCTCAATTCCACTTTGCTACCCTATCTCCATCTCCCTTAATTCCCTCCCTCAAGGTATTGTGGGTCTACCCACAGCACATGGACTGTAGCAGTTCAAGAAGGCAGCTCATGACCACCTTCTCAAGGGCAACTAGGGATGGACAATGAATGCTGGCCCAGCCAGAGATACCCACATCTATCAAGTGAATTTTTAAAAAAAAAAAAAATGCAAGCATTTATCTACGTTAGCTCTGAACGCATTCAAATAATTGAGCGCCCACAACTGTCTGAGGTACAGAATTCCAAAGTAACGCAATTCCTCCTCACGTCAGTCCTATAAAGACGATCCTTTATCCTGAGACTGTGCCTGTGTTCTAGATTCCTGAGCAAAGGGGAGACAACTTTTCAGTGTCTACCCTCCCAAACCCTCGAAGGATTCAAACAGTTTCAATGAGATGACTTTTCAAAATAATAGATATGGTAGACAATGGGTTCAGCCAGATCTGACTGGGTCATGATCAGATCCTGATCTCAGCTGTTAAATTACTCACTCTTCATGATCATGAAAATAACCCTGGATTCTTACTCATGGCAAAGCCTTATTAACCCTCTCTCTCCAACAAGAAACTGGAGGGGCTCAGCTGTCTCTGCAAAATCTCTCCCTTTGCCTAACCCCATGGAGCCGAACTGCCCTAACACCATCCGACCTCGCCTTGACCTTGTATCATTTGCAAACCTCTCTAACTCCACCCAAGTGCTCTCTGAGTTCACTTGTGCAGAAGACCCAACTCCAACATCTTCGATTCTATTCCCATGGATCAGGTGACCATCCAAATTCTCCAGCTGATTCTCACATTGTCAATATTGTGAACAGCACTCTCTCTTCAGGTGCTGTCCTTCTTTCCTTGACCCCACTGTCCTCCTCAGATATTTCTCATCTCCATGCTTCCATCAGTCATCTCATCCAAAAAGACAACGTTATCATACCACCACCTCTCTCCAAATATCTGTAACTTACCAAACAGTTTACTTATATCTAATACCAAACAGCAGAAATTTTCTCCATGTCAATATTGGCAATGGAACAGTAAGCCTTCTCAAATATTCTCAAATGCAAGCCCAGTATTTAGTGCCCATTCTTAATTGCCCTGAAGGTGGCGGTGGTGAACTGCCTTCTTGGACCAACACTATTTAAGATGGACAGACATCCACAGTGCTTTTAGGGAAGAAGATCCAGGGTTTTGACCCAACGCCTATGAGGGAACAGTGTAGGAGATAGCAAGAACTGCAGATGCTGGAGTCAGAGACAATACAGTGTGGAGCTTGATGAACACAGCAGTCTAGGCAGCACCAGAGGAGCAGGAAAGGTGACGATTCGGGTTGGGACCCTTCTTCAGGGCTGGAGAGGAGGAAGGGAGTTGGGAAATAAATGGGGGGAGATGGGGCTGGGGGAAGGTAGGTGGGACGGTGATAGGTGGATGCAGGTAGGGGTTAGTGGGGATTGGTCAGTGGGAAGGATGGGGTTCATAGATGGGAGAGATGGTGGACCAGGTTGTATCAGGTCAAGTAGGCGGAGATGAGAAGGCGGGTTAGACATGGGAGGAGGCCAGGGGTGGGGAGATTTTAAAACTGGCGAATTATATGTTTAGGCCACTGGGGGCTGTAGGCTCCCGAGGCGGAATGAGGGGTTGCTCTTCCAGTTTCCATGTGGCATCAATGTGGCACTGGAGGAAGCCCAGGATGGATATGTCACCCAGGGAATGGGAGGGGGTGTTAAAATAGTAGCAAACGGAAGGTGTTGTTGGCTGTAGCGTACAGAGCGCAGATGCTCCGTGAATCAATCACCAAGTCTGTGCTTGGTCTCACCGGCGTAGGGGAGGCCACATCGGAAGCAAAGGACACAGTAGACCAGGTTGGAGGATGTACCGGTGAACCCCTGTCTAATGTGGAAGGTTTGTCTTGGGCCTTGAATGGAAGTGAGGGGGTAGGTGTAGGGGCAAGTGTAGCACCTCCTGCGGTTGCAGGGAAAGGTGCCGGGGATGGTGGGGCTAGTGGGGAGTATGCAGCGGACGAGGGAATCGCAGAGCGAGTGATCCCTACAAAAGGCAGAGGGGGTGGGAGGGAAATATCTCTTTGGTTGTGGGGTAGGATTGTAGGTGGCAGAGAATAATACGTTGGATGCGGAGGTTGGTGGGGTGATATGTGAGGACCACGGGCTCTCTGTCTTTGTTTCTGTTGGGGGGAGGGGGTTTGAGGTCAGAAGTGTGGGAAATGCAAGAGATGCGGTTGGGGACATTTTGGATCAACAGAGGGGGGGCATTGCGGACCTTGAAGTAGGAGGGCATCTGGGATACCCAGGAGTGGAACACTCCATCTTGGGAGCAGATGCAGCAGAAGCGGAGGAATTGGGAGTAGGGGATCACATTCTTGCAGGAAGGTGGGTGAGAGGAGGTGTAGTCTAGGTAGTTGTGGGAGTCGGTAGGCTTGAAATAGATGTCGATTTCAAGGTGGTCACCAGAGATGGAGACAGAGGGGTCCAAGAAGGAGGGAGAGGTATCAGAGATGGTCCAGGTGAATTTGAGGTTGGGGTGAAAGGTGTAAGTAAAGTTGAAGTAAAGTTCAAACCCTCGTGGGAGCACGAGGCAGCACCGATACAGTCATTAATGTAGCGGAGGAAAAGGTAAGGGATGGTGCCAGTGTAGCTGCGGAAGGGGGACTGTTCAACGTATCCTACAAAAAGGTAGGCATAGTTCGGACCCATGCTCCTTAGTCTGTAGGAAGGGAGGTGGCGGGGGGAAAGAGTTAAAGGAGGAGAAGTTGTTAAGGGTAAGGACAAGTTCCATTAAGCGGATGAGGGTGTCGGTGGAGGAGGAATGGTTGGGCCTGTGGGAGAGGAAGAAGCAGAGGGCTTTTAGGTAATTATATTTTCAGGTCAGAATGGGGAGTGGCTTAGAGGGGGACTCGTAGGTGGTGGTATTCCCACGTATGGGAGTGGTCATGGGTTTGGAAGGGGTTGTCAAGGAGCCTTAGTGAGTTGCTGCAGTGCTTCTTATAAAAGGTGCACTCTGCTGCTACTGTGCATTAGTGATGAAGACAGTGAATGTTGAAAGTGTTGGATGGAATACCCATTAAGCGGGCTACTTTGTCCTGGATGGTGTCAAGCTTCTTGAGTGTTGTTGGAGCTGCACTCAAGCAAGTGGGAAGTATCCCATCACACTCCTGACTTGTACCTTGCAGATGGTGGACAGGCTTTGGGGAACCAGGAAGTGAGTTACTCGCCGCAGTATTCCTCGGGTCTGACTTGCAGCTACTGTATTCATATGGCTGGTCCTGTTCAGTTTCTGATCAATGGTAACCCCTGGATGTTGAGTGGGCAATGCTAATGCATGATCTCGCCCAGTCAGATAGTCCTCGCGCACAATTTCCCACATTGACGTTTCTGAAGGATACTGCTGACTATGCTCCCTGCACACCAGATTAAGAGAACACACCGAATCCAGAAGATTCCGATTCCATGGATGAGTGGCTGCATCATGTAGGAAATAATGGTCTGCAGCAACAGGTAAATAATCCCAATTCCAAATGTCAGCACAGCACCGAGGATATGGACCTGAATTAACGTTGTCTTCTAATGGAGTAAAAAAAAAAGATAGAATAACATGACAGTGAGTCACTTAGAGGCACTATAGAAGTAGCAAACCTCTTCCATCAGGCATTCTGAACACATGCACCAACAGGTTCGCAAACTGCTTCTTCCCCACTGTTATTAGACTGCTCTAATTTCAAACCTAATGTTGATCTTGATTTTGTACACCTCCTGTGCAGCAACAACCTTGCGTACCTCGCTCTGCCTAAACGCCCTATGATCTGTATGTCCTTGCATGTTATGGTCTGCTTGTACCACACATAAAACAAAACTTCTCACTGTACTTCAGTACATGTGACAAAAATAAATCAAATCAAATAAAACTCACTGAGCCACACAGCGGACTCCTGTATATTTAGATTTCTACGGATCCAGCATTGTCAGAAACTGTTTTACTGGTTATTATCTCTGTGGTCATGCTCGACGTGATCGGTATTCGAGATTCACAGCTTCTCCAATTCATGGAAAAACACAAACGATTACCTCAGTCTATCAGTCTTGCCCTAGGCCACATGCACTGATATTACCAAAGGTTTTCAGGGTCTGATCTGACATATTGTTTGTGTTCTCTGTGAGCATTACAGATACTTTCAGTTTTCTCAGTAGTCTGGTCTAACATCTCTGTCATCGAGTCCTACAGCACAGAGACAGAGCCTTTGGCCCAAACTGGTCCATGCCGGCCAAAACGTCCATCCACGCTAACCCCATTTCCCTGCACATGGCCCATATACTTCTAAACCTTTCCTATCCATGTATTCGTCCAAATGCCTTTTAAATGTTAACATACCTGCCTCAACCACTTCCGCTGGGAGCTTATTCCACATGCGTACCACCGTGTGTAAAATAGTTACCCCTCAGGTTCCCATGTATTCTTTCCCCTCTTATCTTAAACCGGTGCCTTCTAATCCTTGATTCCCCAACCGTGGGAAAAAGACAGAGTTCATTCACCCTATCCATGCCGGTCATGATCTTATACACTTTTATAAGATTCCCCCCTCAGTCACCTATACTCTAAAGTTGAAAGTCCTAGCTTGACCAATCTCTCCCTATAACTCAGTCCCTTAAAATCTATCAGCATCCTTGTAAATTTCTTCTGCACTCTTTCCAGTTTAATAACATCCTTCCCATAGCAAGGTGACCAAAACTGAACACAATACTCGAAGTGCAGCCTCACTAATGCCCTGTACAACTGCAACATAACTTCCCAACTTCTATACTCAATGCCCTGACTGATGAAGGCCAGTGTGCCAAAAGCCTCATTCACTGCCCTGTCTACCTGTAACTCCACTTTCAGAGAACCATGCACCTGAACTCCAAAGTCCCTCCGTTCCACTACACTCCTTAAAGCCCTACCATTCACCATGAAACTCCTACCTTGATTTGACTTTCAAAAATGCAACACCTCACACTTATCTATATTAAACTCCATTTGCCATTTCTCGGCCCACTTCCCCAAGATCCTGCTGCAATTTCTGATAACCTTCCTCACGGTCCATGATACCGCCTGTTTTAGTGTCATCTGCAAACTTACTAATCATGCCTTGTACATTCTCATCCAAATCGTTGATATAGATAATAGTAGTGTTCCAGCAAAGCTCTAAATAAGTTGGAGGAATTTTTCATTTAGGCACTTTATAACCTTCAGCACTCAACACCAAGTTCAAAAACATCAGAGCATGAACAGTTAGATCACAATTTTCAATTACAACCCCTTCCCCAGCATCCCCAGTGTTTGTTTGAATAGGGTTACTCTCAAAAGAGTTGGCCTGTTTTCTCCTCCCATGAACACCTACTCTTCATCTAGATCTCTCCTCTATTACTATTAGCCTTTGTCTTTTTCTCTTGGCAGCATAAAAAACAACCTTTTTCAGCCCCCTTCAGTTCTGAAGAGAAGTCATATCAAACTTGAAACTGTTTTCCTCTCCACAGACGCTGCCAGTTTCTCCAACATTTTCTGCTTTTATTTCAGTTTGGAAACTTGTTTAATTTCTAAACATTGTTAAAAGGAGCCAACAGGTTGATATTTTCATCTTGCACTCATTGGAACTGGGCCACTAAAGATTTGGCCACAAGACTGACCATCATTGGCATGGGGATGCAGCAATAACATATGGCCCAACCATTCAGCACTCTCTTCCCACGCTGTCATACAAGGGCTGTGTAAAGTGGTTGTTTCGGGTCAGGACCCTTCTTCAGAAAAGGGTCCCAATCCAAAATGTCAACTTTCCTGCTCCTCTGCTGCTGCCTGGCCTGCTGTGTTCCTCCAGCTCCATACAGTGCTGTCTCTGACTCCAGGATCTGCAGTTCTTGTTATCTCTATATAAAGTGGTGTCCTTTTGTTCATGTCTGTTTCTTGCAGCCTAGTAATGACGAGTGGAAGACAAAAAGCTTCAACTACTGACTTCTTTTAAGGAATGTTTAAGCTCTGTATGACCAAGCAATTACTTATACATCTATTAATTCTACATGTGACAATGATCTCATTGTAAAATGAACATGCAGAATGGAAGGATGATCCCAGACTGGAAACAGGAATGTGGTGATAGATAGCAGTGTACAATGTTACTGCATTCAGTTCCTAGTTACCCAAGAATAATGAATTTCGGTGAGTTTTAATTCTGCAAGCATCGCTGACTACAATGCTGACCTTGCCATTGATGCCTTCCCTCCATGAAAGAAAAGTTTTTAAAAGATGCGATATGTTACATTGTTTTCAGGATGACTGTGAAGCTATATTTATCCCATATATTAGCACTGTCCTAGTCCCAGCCACCCGCCTTTTTCACAGACCCTTTATCTAAACTACTTGCCCAATCTATTCTCAATAGTGACAGGATCCCCACTTCATTCACACTGTTATAACCTTCCAACCCCACACGGGCTTCTGTGTAAGGAGACAAACTCTCCTCATACTCTATTCAGTGATCTACAATCAGCTGAAAGTTACAGAGTCATTGATACAGCACAAACTAAAATACACATTGTTAAATTAAACAATGAATGTTCAGGTCAAAAACACTTGAGAAAAGTTGGGAGAAATCATCTCATCTGCACCATCTCAACATGTGACACACTTCAGCTGATTCAACATGTGGCACAGAATTGGTGAACACATTCTTAGCCTTTCTAAAGCCAGTTATTAAGAAGTAATTGCTTGCTGATAATACGCACATCGTTTTGAAACAATATATCTTAAAATCTAAAAGTATCAGTCAGTTACTTCCTTGTGGTTATTCCTGTACCTGGCACTCTTGCAGCATTTGCAACACCAAGTCATTGTTAACGGACCAGACTTGAACAAAACAGCAGCCATCCCTGGTCCAATCTTTACTGAAAGAACCTGAACATCAGTAAGAATTTAACCACAATTCCTAAGGCAGGTTGGCAAGGTTCCACTGGTGAAACAAATAAAGTCCATTCAAATGAAGTAAATAGTGCTCAATTTGAGGAGAATGTTGATAGATTAAATAAACAGAACATGTTTCCACTGGTGGGATTATTAAGAATCAGCGGGATGAAGAATTGAAGAAAAAGATGCCGTAACAGCCCTTGGATTGATCCATCTGCAGTCTGCTACATACTTCTGTGGGCAGTGCAAACAGAAACAAGAGCCAGCAAACAGAAAACATCTCTCGTGAGCGAAGACAGAAAAACATCAAGAAATGTGAAAGAATTCTAACAAAAGACTCCAGTTCACCCAATCGACTCTCGAACTGATGAGCAACCAACTCTCTCCAGACATCATTGCCAAAAATCAAAAGAACGGAGATAGACAACTTTTGTGTGGTCTAGACTTTTGATCTTCAGAATGTTATTGACCTTATCTATAGTTTTCAAACCATAATGTCAGTCAAGCACTTGCTCCCAACTAAAATATATTCCAGAAAGGAAGATAGATAATAAGAGGGGAAGAAAACATCCCATGGCAAAGCAAGGAAGTTAAACTTCTTATAAAGATAAAAACTATGACTTATTGCAAAGGCGTGCGACAGGCTGGAAGATTGAAAAACGTTTAAAGATCAACATGGTTACTAAACAGATAATAAAAAGAGTAAGGTAAATTATAAAAGAAAACTAGTGCAATATATTAAAAAAAAGTAAAAGCTTCCATAAGTGTATAAAAGGGAAGAAAGTAGCTAAAGTGAATGTTAATCCTATGGTGGATGAGACTGGAGAGTTAATAGTGGAGAACACCAAAATTGCAGAGCCACGAGATTAATACTTTGCTTTGGTTTTCATGGTGGAGGACACTACCAAGGAAAAAGTATCATAGAATCCTTACAGTGTGGAGGCAGGCCATTCGGCCCATCGAGCCCACAACGACCCTCCAAACAGAATCGCAACCAGACCCACCTCCCCTAACCTAGCTCTGTAACCCTGCATTTCCCATGGCTAATTCAACTACCCTGCACATCCCTGAACACTATGGGTAATTTAGCCTGGCTAATCCACCTAACCTGCACACCACTGGACTGTGGGAGGAAACCGGAGCACCCGGAGTAAATCCACGCAGACACGGAGAGAATGTGCAAACTCCACACAGACAGTCGCCCGAGGGTGAAATCGAACCCGGGTCCCTGGCGCAGTGAGGCAGCAGTGCTAACCACTGAGCCACCGTGCCGCCTTACTTTGCCACCTGCCAACTACTTTGTGAACCATTGAGATTAAAGGCAAACAAGTGTCCAGGGCCCCATGGCCTATATCCTAGGGTCTTAAAAGGGATCGGCAGCAGAGATAATGGAACCATTGGTTATAATATTCCAAACTTCCCTGGATGTGAGAAAGATTTGGACTGGAAGATGCTAATATAACAGAAAGGGATAGAGGTAGAAAGTTTTAACATGTGTGCTCGAGAATTTGTTAGAATCCATTATTAAGGAAGTAATAATAGGATATTTGGAAAGCCAAAACCAAATAATCAGAGTCAGCATACTTTTATGAAGGGTAAATCACGTTTCACTAACTTGCTAGAGTTCTTCAAA